GATACATCTGAAATTTAATCTAAGTAATTTTGAAATAAATATTAACTGTAATCACCATGCTGTGCAATAAATTTGAAAAAATATTCCTCCTGTCCCTTTGAACAGGTGTCATTTGCTCTTTGCTTCCCAATCCTCTGGTAACATTCTGTTGTCCAAAGCATGAAGCGTTTTTTATTATAATTTTTGTTTTAACTTCAAATATCTGTTCTGCCTAAGTATGTTTTAAAACAAAAATATATGAGGATTGTAGTCTCCAGCCACACTACCCTGAATATACCAAATCTCACGTGAGGGTTGTAGAATCACGATAAGAACCCATCTCCCTGTTTTAACGTTTTGTTTGATTGAGGAAGTAACTCTTGATTTATGGGATTCTACAGTTTTTGAAATGTTTGAGAATTCATTCCTCATAAGGTGATAACTTTATGTCTACATATATTTGTGTAGATCTACCTATATAATCCATATGTATGTGTATATCTATCTAGACATCTATATATGTATATCTTTATATGTATACATATGTGACAAGAGTGTATATTCTCCCACACTGAGACAGTGATACAGCCAAACAAAGAAAAATTAGAAGGCTCATAGATTGAACAGGAGATGGAAAATGGAAATGGTGTAACTTTTTTTTAATAGACATTGTTCTAACAGTTTTAAGCTCTTTTTATACCCAAATCTTTGTTATTTAGAAAGTCGATTTTCTCTTAAATGCTGTTTTTCAGATATGTCTCTACTATTCTCTAAAATCCTTCCATTTAAGTGTGCCTACTGTAGAGGAGTGAATAAAGTAATCTTAAATTGGCAGAGGTCACCGTGGGAAAGTGACCAGGAAGTAGTGAAGAGGTCTGGCAGTGATGAACCAGTGTGGGTTGCAATACACAAGTGCATGGAAGCAATGCTAGGAATCTCTCTGTATAGCTATCCTTATCTCAAACTAGCAAAAATGCTATGTCTTTCTTATTATCCCTTATGTTTTCTCTTCAACAAAATTGGAGAAGAGGGCAGAACATGTTCTGCCTGGAAGCTAGGGGGGTGGGGGGAGAGGGGGAGAGGTGGCCCAAACAATGTATACACATACGAATAAATGTATAAACAATCAAAAAAAAAAACATATAGATAGAATCTCAAAAAAAAAAAACCCCTCTAAATTGTCAAAATTGTTGTCTTTTTATGGAGTTTTGCAAAACTGAGTGTCCTCTAGTAAGTACTGTCCCTGGGGGTCTTGTAATTCTTTGCTGCAAATTTGATTCCATAGTGATACTTGTAACACAATCCGACCATTATGTTTCTGTGGTTTAGGGTTCATTCTCTCACATAGGCTGTGTTGATTTTATTCTGAGTCTTACAGTTTTTTTATATGTGAATTTCTTTCTAGTACTTTTTTTGTGGCAGAAAAAGTTTTGAAGGGACCATAAAATAAGGAGGGATCATAAACAGTACATTCATTTAAAGAATAAATATGGGACTAGAATGTGGAACAGGAACTGAGCATGTGGAAATCAAAAGTTAACCTCCTGTATTATTCAATTTTTGTCTAATTCTTAGCAGAATATGCTCTTCAGCTCTGAGCTTGGCAGCTTAAGCAAGATGTGGAAACAGTTGGCAAGGTTCCTAAGAAGAACAATGAAAATTATTAGATAACAAAAATAAGCGAACATTGAAAGAATTGGCATTTCGTAAGGGAGAGAGAGTGTAGGAATTTAGATAATGTAAAAGATCGGCAGCAGGGATGTAACAAATTGTTCAACCATCCAGGTGGTATGAAAAGGAATGTCCTACATTTTTCAGGAGGAATTTATTGGCCTATGAACCCTTTCTCTCCATGTCAAGATGATTGAGATCACATTGTATGTACTTTTTCCTTCCCTGGGCTTTTCTGACACCACACATTTCAGGTTCTCTCTCTATTTTTTGGTCATTCTCAATTGGACTCCCCTTTTCATGTTCTGCCTGGAAGCTAGGAGGGTGGGGGGAGAGGGGGAGAGGTGGCTCCCCTTGGCTATCTGCTGCTTATCCTTACCTTCTGTTCTCTCTTCTTTCTTCTCCTCCCCCTTGGTGAAATTGCATGGCCTTTTGCTTCTCTGTTGTCATCTCAATCTATCAAAAATAAAACACACTTTTTTTTAAACTTAAAATCCTTTATCAGCTTTCCATAACTTCCAGCAGAGGTTCATAGTCACTGTTGTTCCCAGGGCTACATTTAGGAGAAGGGGGATAGAGAGACAGGTGTCAGTAACGCCGTGGCTAGTATCACTTTTTTGGTGCTCACTGTGAAGGACTTACCTGAGCATGTGAGCATGTAGGGGTATACAGTAGAGAATAATTTGAGGTCTTTACATGGGAGACCCTTCAAGCTCAGCCCACTATCTACCTCTGCATTCCCCACACACCCGCTGCCCTGGATTGTGAATTTCAGTTTCCTTGCTTTTTCTATTGCACATGACAATATACTTCTCAGGATTTTGTTTCATTGGTAATACTTTGTGAGCGTTGTTAAACTTACATTTTAAGGACAAAAGGAGACTGGATTTCCTGAAATTTGTCCTACAGTATCTCCAGAAAGATTTGTCATTTTATTTGGAGTTTGTCTGGATTGAGTATTGATGAGATAAAAACAGAAATCATGACAAGCAGATATTTATTGAACACTAGTGAGTAAATCGGTGAAGAACTGTAATGCATCTTTGTGGAGTCATATGGTATCAGTGCTAACAGGACCTTGGAGTTCACCCTCCTCCCTGTCTTCAGATGGATAAGAGAAGCCTGACTCTTGAGAGGCTTGCCTAGGATGCAGCAAACATGGTGTGGTTGGTGCAGCTACAGCCCCAACCCCTGCCCTCAAGGTCATGCTGTACCAGTTCTCCTTTTACTGCAGTAAGGAAGTCTGCTCCCCTCTTTAAGAATATGTACATTTCATTACACAAAAATAGAAAAATAAGCTACATGGGTTCCTTTTTTTTTTTTTTTTTGACAGGCTATGTAGAACAGGCTGGCCTCAAACTTGTGATCCTCCTACCTCAGCCTCCTGAATATACCACCTTGTGCAGCAGCTACTCATTTAAATAACCAATTAGGTTGTATATATGTATAAGGTATATATCCGTAGATGTATGTGCATATAGTTAATGTGTAAGTAAAGTGACTTAGATTATTTATTGCAAGAACTAGTTATCTTCACCATTGGGAAACTTAACGAATCACTTATTCTTAACTACTAATATGACCTTAGTCTATTTCTTTAACTTTTTGGATTTAATTTCTTTTATATTTAAAAAGAAAGTTGAATTGCTCTGAGATTTCTTATAATTTCCAAATAATAATTACAAAGTCATGTGCTTTTACGTGGTGCTTGCCATCTACCAGATATGGTTGCCAATACAAGTACTTATTTACACTCATGTAATTCTTCTAGCTACAGTGCAAGGTTGGTGCAGTTACTGTTGGCAAAGCTGAGGCATGGAGGGTGGAATAGCCCAGTATAACCTGGCTAGTAAACGGGTCTGGTTGAAGATAGGGGGTCTGAGTGGAGTCCACGCTCCTTACTCCTGTACATCACTGTCTACTGGATAGTCTCTCCTGTAATCCTGTTAATGCTTCAGATTTAATAAAAATGAAAACTTAGGAAGCCTTCTCTTTTCTTTCTTAACTTTTTTTAAGATAATAAAATATAAATAGCAAACATTGAAATTAGAGTAGGGAACTCTTGTTAAAATGATACATTCAGAGCTGGCAGAGTGACTCAGGCAGTAAGAGTGCCAGCCTAGCAAGCATGAGGCCCTGAGTTCAAACCCCAGTGCCGCAAAAAAAAAAAAAAAAATTCAGAAGCTAATCAAGGGTAGCACTTACTAATAGTATTTCAGTTAATATATTTTATGTAGAATGGTGTTTGATCCAATGGAGTGAAAGTCAAATTGACGTTACGACTCTGGGTCTTTAAATTGTGTGGTGGCCTTTTAAAATTATTAAAAAAAACAAAATAACTTTTTTAAAGTCAAATTTAGCCAGAATGAGATTCTGCATGACTTTATTGGTTCCTCCACTAAAATACTGGAGGAACAACTGGACTATGTCCTGGATGCCGTGTCTTCAGAAAAGCCCAGCCAGCAGAGGGAAGGGATATGGAGCTGTGATGTGCATGACAACTCTGAAGGACCTGGGCATGCTCAGCTTGAAGAGGGAAGTACAGTCTCAGTACATGAAACACTATTGGTTAGATCAGCTCCATGGGACAGTTGGGCAGTAGGTGGAGGTTGCTGAGTGGCAGACTTCAGCATGGTGGAAACTAGCCAAATGTGAAATTTGTGGCTTTTGTGGTGTAAGTTTCTTTGTCAGGAGATTTCCAAGCAAAGTCTGGGTGACGTGGGAGAGGGATGTTGCAATGCAGGTTTTGTCTTGCTTTGGTTGACTTTTTGGTTCCCTTTGTACAGTGCCTGGCCCATATAGCCACTCAGCAAATAACTGTGGAATTAATGACTTAAAAAGTAGAACAGGAGAAATGTTTTTATCACATTATTTAAAACCAAGATGCCTCTTTAAATAACTTATTTGATTCTTCCCTGATTACCATACAAGATTGAGAGGGGAGACTATTTATTGAGGTGTAGTTTTGGTTGCTTTCTCAGATAACACAAGTCCTCATAAATGGCATCAGCCCTCAGGAGAAGTAAATAATGTACATACCATTACTTAAGTTATTGCTAAATATGTTTTAAAATACATCTTTATATGTATGGATAGCTCAGCTTATAAAGTTGTAAGCTCTTTGATATTAGCACTGTATGCTTCCATGTTTACTTTTATAGTAACTCATCCAGAATCTTTGTGAAATACTGTGACTTCAGACTGTATTTTAGGGAGCTATCCATGATTCAGGATTACTCAGAAATTAAGTTCATTCACTTAGTGAATAAAACTTAGAAATATTCAATTCATTGAGCCAGGTTTGAATGTGTAATGTTGAGGGGTATGTTCAGTGTCTGTTACTTTTGAAGGTGCCTGTGAGGGAACGTTGGCTTGCTCCACCTGTCATCTCATCTTTGAGGATCACATATACGAGAAGTTAGATGCAATCACTGATGAGGAGAATGACATGCTCGACCTGGCTTATGGACTAACAGACAGGTAAGATTTAAGAATGGTTCCTTATTTTATTATGATAGCCTTTCTCAGGTCCCAGCCCTGTAGGGTAGAAGTGTTTGTATGTGCATATCTGCCCCAAGTCACTTGCACTGCAGTTTATTCTTCTTTTTGGTTTTGAATGGGAGAAAGGGTGAAAAAAAGGTACTCATTCAACCAAAATTAGGATATATCTGTTATGTGTTGGGCAGTGGTTTAGGTCCTGAGCATATGGTGAATAAAAAAAGATGAAATCTGAAAAAAAACAAAACAAGATTTGCTTCACTCATACTAATAACCTGAGAAGATCCAGCCTTTATTACTTTGTGTCTGTACAAGACAAAGTGAGCGCAGTAGTGCCCTCTTGGAGTAGAGGACAGTTACACGTTTTGCCTAGTCAATATGTGGCGTTTCTCTTTCACTATTCCACAGTTTAGCCCCTATGCAACTTCCCTTTTATAAAAGTGAAAAGATTTGTGAGTTCTAAATCTAATACGTCTTCTTTAGTCTATTTCTATTATAGGAATTCATATTTATCACAATTTAGCAGGATGGAAAATTGAATGCAATGCTTTTTGTAGTATTCTTGAAGGGTGAATTTGATAACTGAACAAAATTATAGTGGAAAATTTTACCTATTTGAAAGAATAGAATTTTCAAAGAAATTTATATATAATAGCAATTATGTTAAGATGACTGGTTCTTGTTCTAAGTGTACACTAAAGTAAATTAATTAGAGCTTGTTCTTATTATTAATTAATAGGTACAGTTACTTTTAAATGTGGTAAGATTTGCAGTAGCAGATGACACCAAGTAATACTTATTATTTTTTAATTAGCCAGTCTTGGTTGGCATCAAGGAAGATTTCTAGTTGCTTTACTGTTTCAAAGTTAAGATAAGGAAGGCTTATTACCTAATGTGGGTTTTGTTTAACTGTAATTTGATACTCTAAGAAAATTAAAACAATTAAAATAATAGTAATAAAAATACCTTTACTAACATCATAATTATGTACCTACAAACTGTCTCATTTAATCTGCCCCAAATTTTTAAGCTATTTGTGTGTTTATCCCCTCCTTCACTCTTGTGGTGCTGGAGATACAACCCAGGGCCCTGCCATATGCCAGGCTAGTGCTCTCTTCTGAGCTACGCCCCAGCTTTCATATCTGTCTTGATGGAGGTGACATTAATACCCAGGGCAGAGAGACTGGGAACACGGTATCTCTTCTGCTACCTTCAAAGAAAGTAGGTTGTGGCTGCCATCTACCTGATCCCACTCACATCTTCAACTAATCTTCCTAGCAGTTCTGTAAGGAGCCTGTTAAGTCCATCTTGAGGATTAGGTTAGGAAAGTGATATCACATTGCTTGTGAGCCCTATATTAAGTGATAGATTCTGGACCACTGGTCTTTTTGGCTCTAACCTCTATGTTGTCTGCTTATTGCATCCCTAGTGCCCAGCACATAACAGGTGTTCAATCAAAAAGTATTGGATTGAGTTTGTTTTCTTTGTGTATTTAGCACTGTGCTTTTTAGGTGCTCAATAAACACTTGATGAATCCATTAATGAAACCAAGGCCTGCATATTACATTTCATCAAGTCAGACAATTTAATTATAAGATTAATATTTATTAAGAAGGAATAGAAGCACTGCTAAGTAAAATATGCACAGTATTATCACTAACATATTTTGTGCATTTTGGAGTTATTTAGGTTTATCTAGACATAATTTTGTGTTATATATCTGTTAAAAAAATAGGAATAAAACAAAATTGGTAGTAATTTTTTTTTTTTTTTTGTGGTGGTACTGAGTAGTGGGGATTGAACTCAGGTCTTGTGATTGCCTAGCAAATGCTCTACCACTTGAGCCACATCTCTAGTCCAAGATTGGTACTAATTATATAAGAAAAAAGGACAAGGAAATGGTACCATAATTATTCTTCCTATGACAGATATCAAACTTGTACCTTGATATTTCTGTATTCTTACAAATTTTTGTTTGGTAATCTTTTTGGACTTATTTTGAAAGGTATTTAACTTCACATTTGATAACATGTTTCATGTTTCCCTGTGTATCTCAGTTGAGACAATGTATGGATTTTGTAACTAAATTCACAGCTATAAAATGACTGTAACAGTGATTAGTTTTAAGATGCATTGCAAGATACCAAAAATATGGGGGAAATATGCTTTTATAATTGATGGTTTAAGTCTGTGTATTTATTCCAATCTTAAATGCTTTTAAGCATGTAGCTTGCTTTTGTAGTTTGTATGATTTTAATTATCTGGGAGTTGACTAGTCATTTTCTTGGCCTTCCTGATAACCTCAGTTCCTTGTCCACCATTATACCCTCTGATTATGTCATTCCTTGTCACCTCTTTCACCAAAATGTAATCATTCTGGTGAACCAGTTAGTAGAAGATAGAAACTAAAGGCTAAAGTAAAGCTTTGTCACACCGGGTAGTTTTTCATACTTACTTTCTGCTACCCTATGGTTGATAGAGCTACAGATATATTTGTTTTGATATAATTAAAATTTACAGGATTAATTAATTCCCTAACTGGGCGAGAAAGCATAAAAATTTGCTAAGTAATCATGTTGCCTTGTGAATGATAGGTATTTACTACTAAACCATGCCTTCCCCCTTTTCTGTACAGATCACGGTTGGGCTGTCAAATCTGTTTGACCAAATCTATGGACAATATGACTGTTCGAGTACCTGACGCAGTGGCTGATGCCAGACAATCTGTTGACATGGGCAAGAATTCCTAAGCTACAATAAAAGAATATTTTCATGAAATTTTCCTATTTTTATAATTTCTTCTCAATATAACTAAGAACATGGGTGGATGAATTTATTATTATGAATAGTTTTAGTATTTTAGTTCACGTTGTAAAACTACTGAATTTTGTAGTACGCAGTTTTTATTTTGGTTAGATTTTAAAAATGTCAGCCAAATACTAGAAAATGGTTGATTAGAAACGTACATATTTTACTTTAAATGTGTATAGCAACTTTTGCAAAATGTTACCATGAAATCTTACGTCTGCTTATTTAGAAGGTAGGTTAATAAAAGGTATTATTACCCCTGTTTGGTGTGGGTGAAGGTGGAGCTCTAGAATGGCTTCTTCAGGGCCTTATAACTAATTGGAAAATTTGTACTAGAACCTGTGTTGTTACTGTTAGTTTTATGTTCAGAATAAAGCTGGAGAAACTGTGACGAGCTTATGTATAGCAGTAATTAAGTATAAATGTGTATGGGAAAGATATCCAATTGCTCAGCGAAATGCTTCATTTCAAAGACTGTTATTAACCTTACAAATAAATACTTCGAATTTTTGATTCAATAAGGAGTGTATGTCTAACATAGGCATTGTAATGCTGTCAAAGAAGTTTGATGTCTGTTCTGACTACACCAGGGGAATAGAATAAACTAAAATTATATGCCTTTATTCTTTTCTAAGAGGAGTAGTCTGTCTTTGAAATCTTTTGAAAATAATGCTGATTTATGAATTGTTGGCTCTAACAGAAAGGAAGTCTCATGAACTCGGTCTCTGTGTCCTGAGCCACAGGCTGTGACCAGCTGCTGCACTGCATAACCCAGAGGCACTTTCTCTCACATGGTACGTGCAGAGTGCCCCTTGTGTGCCCCATTCCAGAAAGGAGGCAGTGGTCTCAGCACCACAGATCACCGATTTCATATGGAAGACATGAATTGATAACAACAAGGTGCACAGTGGGCTCTTTGGAAATACACCTAACCTGGACTAATTGTGAGAATGAGCAGAACAGATTCACTTAAAGTGAATTATAAGACATTTGAGTTAGCTTCAAGTGCTTCATTGCAGTTTGATTATTTATGTAAATGGGTTGGATTTAATTCTGTAATACTTGGCATGCAACACTTTTGTGCCCCATTGGGATGCAGTATGAACAAGACAAGGGATGACCTCAGGGAGCTCAGCTTTTGTTGGCAAAGATAAATGTATACATACACACAAACAATTTGCTTAAACCAAACTGACCAATTTGCCAAATAGGATTTTAAATGAATTAATATGTTGGTAGTTTAGGAAGAGCTTGAGGTATCTGTGTTCATTTACCACTTGATGACTAGTAAGTACTTTCTATATGAGGGTGCTCTGCTTTCAGAGTTCTTCACAGCAATCTAGTCCCTTTACCTGCATCAGCATTCTTGTCTTATTATAGGCATCACCTAAACCCTCGCCTTTCCAGAACTATTTTGTGGTGATACTCAGCCAAAACACTCTAAAATTTAGGGTCTTAATTATCTCAAATTTCAAATTAGAATAGTTCAAATTAATGAAGCTTAATTGTATAAAATCTAAATTTACTAAATGGAGGCTATATTCTAAAATTGATCTAAGGCTTATTTTTTCAGTTTGAAAAAAATTCCTTCCATATTTGATGTATGTGTATTCTAGGTAACCATATTGATTTATCTAAACAAATCATCTCAAAACTTAGTGGCTTAAAACACCTCTTGTTATTGAGACAGTTTCTGTGAGTCAGGAGTTCAGAGTATAGAGCAGGGATGGTTTGTGTCTGGGCCTAAGCTGGAAGACGGAAGGTCCAGGTGCTAGAATCATCTGCAGGCTTAGCACTTCCGTGACTGCAGGGGTCAGCTGGGTATCTAGCAGGAGCTGTTGGCTGGTACACTCACCTGTGGCCTCTCCATGTGTCCCGGCTTCCTTACAAAGTGGTGGCCATTCTAGGCAGAAGCTGTATCCTTTTTATGTAGTTAAACAGTATCATTTCTGCTCAACTTTTTCATTGGAAATAAGGAACTGTATCTAGCCCATCATTTGAAAGGAAGGGTAGCAGGAGTTTGCAAACAGGTTTTTTTAATTAATTAATTAATTAATTAATTAATTTAATTTATATTGTGCTGGGGGTACATTGTGGAATTTACAAAAGTTCTTACAACATATCAGATATATTGTACCTCAATTCACTCTCTCCATCATGCAGATAGGTTTTAAAGCCATATCAGTGACAGTTATTTTCAGGTGAACTCCTTCATTTCCTGTGAATATTGGCATTTTAACAATCAGCATTCTAAGCTTTTTAAGAAAAGCTTGTTTTTCGTCTTCAATTATATTTTGACAGATCTTGTGTGGTCTTTATTATTATGTCTTGTTTGTCTTATTCTGTAACTTCCAGCATTTTACTCTTGACTGTTGATTTAAATGAAAGGGAAAAATAGCAGGTTCTCTTTCAATGCTGTGTAATGTTAGTTTCCGTTCATCATTTTCCATCAAGAAAAGGCATCTTCCTTTGGCGTAATACTCTGTGATTGTAGATTGTGTATGTGGTAATACTTAATATTATATTTGGATTTTATAAATAAAACCACAACCTATAATTATATAAGCAATTCATAACCACTGAATTAGTTTTTTTTAACTAAACCATTCCAGGAATTTCTGAAACCTTTTGCCGGTTCTCACTGTGAAGATACTGTCTCATAGGGTAGCTTTCCTGTTTTTGTAATAGCTATTTAAGTATCATGACCAGGTGGTCGCTATAATGGTCAGTCAGTGTTTATTAGAACAATTACATTTCACTTGAAAAGTTTTCCAAGAGAGACTCCATATTTTCCTATCTTTTCTTCCTTTTTACACTTCTTTAAATTGCTTTGCCTTCCTGAAGTTACCTGAAATTTTGTGGTAAACCCCATTTTGGATCAGAATTTGTTAGATGGCTTTCTTAATATAGGATAATTTACTGTACTATTAAAGTAGAAATGATATGTTGTATGTTGATTCCTAAAAGTAGTATATGAAGCTAAGTGTAGACCATAGTGTAACATCCAAACTTTACATATAAACTTTGTTTCCTGTTAGAGAAATTTAGAGAACAGAAATATGATCTTTGTTAAGCAACAACAGGAATCCTTTAATGTGGCAACACATCACATATCATACTATTTTTTATCAGATTTTCTTCTGTTTATAAATTTATAGAAACTGAAGGATTAGAAAACCAGCTGCCAGGAGGAAAGCATGATCAGTAGCAGATACAGATAAATGTGGCTAAAACAAGACAGAATTGTAATTCAAATCTGTAAGAAGCCAATTCCTAGAGGATTTGATGGGAAATACCTTTACAGTGAAAGGCATGACTTCTCTGTAACAGTAACAAGCCATCTAATATCTCATTCCTCTTTCCTTTTGATGCATTTTCTTATCTAAATATTATTTGACATGTAAATTTTAGACTTAATTTTATAAAATTAAGCAGGACCATTGTGCCTTTCTTGTTTGCCTTGTTTACTAGCCATTTCTGAAATCATCAACACTCAGCTTGGTTACCTCAGTAAGTTGCTGGTGTTTGAATGTGTCCTCCAAAAGTTCATGTGTTGGAAACTTAATTTCCAATGCAACCAAGTTGAGAGGACTTTCAGAGGTGATTAGGTCATAAGGGCTGTGCCGTCATGAATGGATCAGTGTCTTTATCTTGGAATTGGGTCCTTAGTAAGTGATTAAGTTTGTGGACTCCTTCTACTTCCTTTCTCTTGCACTTTCTTGCTTCCATTTGACTCCTTGAACTTGGACTTCCCAACCTCCAGAACTGTGAGCTAAGTAAATGTCTGTTGTTTATAAATGACCCAATCTGTGGTATTCTGACATAGCAATACAAAATGGACTAAGACTGTATTACTGTTACCTGTCCCACTGCTCTGTATTGAGAGCATATACTGCCTATGGCAGTTAAGTATTCAAAAATATAGAAATATGGATCTTATAAAATGTTTGTTATATAATCAATATGGCTATAATTTAAGGAATTTTTTTCTAAGGTCAAAAAATTAATACACTTATATAAAACTAGTACCTAATATTCTGTTGAGCCTGTTTCTTCTCTGAACTCCAAGGACTGAGTGATTCTTAGACAGCAAAATTCTCTTATGTGGTGGACAAAAGTATGAAATTTATTTTTGGATGACTTTGGTGTTGCTTAAAGATTATCTAAAACATGGATGCAAAGCAAAAACATTGTTTCATGTCTTTAAAATTGTACAGAGACTTGTCTAACTGGATCACCTTAGGATTCTTGGATATTCTAGGAGAGAGGAATTAGCAAAGTGTGTCCTGTGGATCAAATCCAATGACTGCCTGTTTTTTGTTTGTTTTATAAATAAAGTATTATGTGAATATAGCCATGTTCATTCATTACTTATTGCATATAGTTGCTTTCAGACTTTTAACCCAAAGTTACATGTGACCTAGGAAGCCTAAAATATTTGCTATCTGGCCTTATTCAGAAAAAGTTTGTTGACCTCTGCTGTAGGATTTATACCCAAACCCTCTGAAGTTAGATGTTAACTTAGTAGAGATAAACATATAGCAGATGTTTTCTGTTTGGTAGAAAAGGTAACTGCCAGAGTTTCAGTTTCCTTTCTTTATAGGGTATTATCCAGTTTTGTTTCTATCTACAGTATTCTTAAAGCATTCTTTTCTCCCATTGACCCTGTGTGTGTATAGGTTTCCCTTTGTTTAGGGGTGGGGATGCTGGGGATTAAATTGCAGGGCCTTACCACTGCAGCCCTCTCATGTCCTTGTTTGAACCAGCTTTGTCACTCTACTCATTCCCTAATTGATGAGTTAGGTAAACCTTTGACACATGCTCACTAAATATTTATACAAGAAAATTATGCAATGACTGTGTGAAACCTGGCAGTACCTTCTTGTGATTATTCCATTTGAGGTAGTCATGTAGCCCTGCTGGGCTTCAGGTTACTTCTTTGTTAAGTGGTGATAATTAGTCCCAGTATCTCAGCCAAATTTCTTTTTCACACATGTAATAACATCCACTGGACACAATTTTGTAATTCAGTTAAAAGGTGTTATGTATAAACACTTTGCTTACTATGAAGCACTGTGAAATTGTTGGATATTACTTGACAAAATCTAGATCTTAGGTATTAAAGCATGGGTATAATCCTGTGATGCATGAGTTGCAAACTGAGGGTTGATGCTTTGACTTTTGCATACAGAATAGTAATTTTGAAAAGGCTAATGTATAAAAGGATTGTATTACCTTTACTCATCTGATGAATGTTATAGTGGAAATGCTTTATTATAATATTTATGTTAGAAATATTCTGATAATCACATATATTAAATTCTCAAGAAGTAGTTATGATTTGAAAAGGGAGCGAATGACAGAATATGGCAGTATATTGTTGGAGTGGGCTGGAAAAAGTTCATTGTCTTTTTGTTGAAAGAAAAAGTAAGGAGTGATATTTCCAATAAGAAAGAAAGGGAAGTGCCTGTAGCTGAAAATGGAAACATAAGTTGTTTGCTTTTTAGAGCAATGTTAAAAACAATACAATTCCCTATAATATTCCAAAAACAAATTGACATATAGAAGCCAGTTTTGAAAGGAGTAACTGCACTGAACCAACTGCTAAATTAAAACATACAGAAGAGTTTAAGCATATATTTTTAAATCAAGCTTAACAAATTATTTTACCCATGTCTTCACAACCTAGTCTAAATTTTCGAAGTATGATCATGGGGTATACCTTGCCTGATACAGAAGCCATTCTTTGATCAGAAGGGTTCCATTTAACATAATTCTCTTACAGGGGAGGTAGCACACCCTGGTTGCTCAATGAAATGATCTGTGTCCTTTACAACTGAGTGAAATTGTCTAAAAATTCTCATGTATGCAGTAATTTCAAGTAATGTGTTCTACCTAAGATCAGATTTATATTAAAAAATCAAAAGTGCCAGTTCCTGGAGTATTTTTTTTTTTAACTTCAGTCTCTTTTATTCATTGTTATGTTCCAAGTGCCTTGATTACCTGACACATAGTAAGTGGTCAGTAAATACTGATCGAATTTTTTGAATGAATCCTCTATAAAAAAGGTAAGACAACCTCTTCAACAAATAGTGCTGGGAAGACTAGATATTCACATGTAGAAGACTGAAATGCCTCTGTCTCTCATCCTGTACAAAAATCAATTCAAAATGGACCTAAGACCTGAATCTTTGAGCCTACTTAGAGGCAAAAATAGGAAATAACTTATCTAGGTACAGGCGCAGACAACTATTTCCTGAATAGGACTCTGATAGCTTAGGAAGTAAGAACAAAAATTTACAGATGAGATTGTGTCAAATTAAAAAGCTGCACATCAAAATAAACAGTTATTAGAGTGATAAGACAACCTATAGAATGGGAGGAAATCTTTGCCAGTTATTCAACTGACTAGGGAATTAATATCCAGAATACATGAAGAACTCAAAAAATCAAACACCAAAAGAATAACCCAACTAGGGTAAATGAATTAAACAGTTTTTGAAAGGAGTACAAATGGTTCTTAAACATCCA